AGAGAGCACTCTTACTGGCTTCTCAGTGTCTCCACTCATTTGAATAATTTTCAATCTTGACTTTAGTACGTAGAATTGGCTTAGCCGTCATATATACCTCCTTTCGAACTAATATGATTTCAAATCACATGCCCCTCTGCCAAATCGACAATTTTCAATATTTTTTCAAACTCTCGAATGTTTTGAGTTCTTAGAGAGCACTCTCACTGGCTTCTCAGTGTCTCCACTCATTTGCATAACTTTCAATCTCTGATGGGATTGGACGCTGGATTAATGAATATACCACCCAACATCCAATTAACTTAATTAATTAAACTTCAGAATAAGAAATGTCAACAATTCGAACTGAAATAAAAATGGAGACATAAAATAGAATACATGTTTTTAACTTAAAATTGAAACTTGTTGATCTGTCTTGTCAAATCCAAAATGAATCAGACGTTTTTAACTTGATAAATCAAATTATCATGTCACTCCTATACAAAGGAACGTAGGCAAGTGGGTACATAAATTCATTACTTAAGAATTGATTCGGTCAGATTTTCTCATTAATAGGTTAGTTACCCACAGCCTCAGACAAGAAATGATCACATCTTCTATTCTCGATACACCCTAATTTATATCAATTTCAGTTTTCTCTTTTTTAGACTCTAATGTCGTTGCAGTTGAAAGTCCAAATTTTTGAAAATGATTTTTCTTTTGAGTAAAACGGCACGCGAAAATAATCTTGATTTGAAATCAATTTATTTATGATTAAGTCACGCGATTTGGGGTCTATCAAATCGGAATAAAGTTAAAATATTAAATGTGGAATTTATGATGTTAAATGCACGAATAATTTAGTATATAAGTCTTATTATTGAATAAAATATAGTTTCTTGTAACCAGTTCACAAGTAAGTTTTATTTACTAACACCTTGTTGAAGTAAAGAAGGAACAAAAATGATGAACAAAGCTGTTGGTAAACCATAGAAATTAAATTGATTGGTAAATTCGTCTGTAATTAATGGCTTCGGTTTGAAAGCGTTTCTTTTCATGTTGATAACGGTAACATTGTCCACTGACTATTGCTCAGATTCCATTTGTAAAAAGGGAGAGAAGCACATTGCTTGCGACAATGATGGTGTATGTTCGATTTATTTTCATTTTTGAATTTCAGTGCAAAATTTTAATGATATTCAATTATTTTAATGAATTTTATTATTCAGAAATTTGACAAAACATGCCCATCAAATGTCAATATCATTGAATTTACCGGTGATTTTAAGGAATTTGCAATAAATACACAAAATAAACTACGCAATCGAATTGCTCTTGGTGAAATTGTGGGCTATGACAAAGCCGCTCGAATGGCAACACTTGTAAGCTTTTTTCCTAAAAAAAATAGTCATTTCTAAATTATTTTTTAGGCAAAGAAGGGCCTAACACGTTATTGGTTGCTATTATTCAATGGGTGCATATGAATTACTATAATGCTAGAAGCAAAAAATAAGATTTGAACACAGCTGCTGTAATGCATTAATCAAAGCCATCTTAATTTAAACCCTTAATTGCTTTTCATTGTTTCTTATTTAAAATGCATATTATTTGAAGGTCTGGCATGATGAACTGGCCAAACTTGCTGAATATACTGTGCGCACATGTATATTTGAACATGATGAATGTCACAATACGGGTAAGTACATAATCTTTATTATATTTATTTAAAACTATTTGTCAAGTCCTCTTTTGGTCAACACATTTCTCATTCACTTTTAACATTTACATTTTTTTATAATTTAGATAATTTTCCACATGCTGGTCAAAATATAGCAATAGCAAAAGGCGGTAAAAAAACTATAGATCCCAAAGAGGTCATTGAAAATACGACAAAAGGCTGGTTCGATGAACACTTCAATGCAAACAAGAGTATCATAGCAAATTATAAAAGAAATGGGCACGTCAAGTTATTTAGTTTCAATTCATTTCAATGATAGAAGTGTTTTTTTATTAATCGAAATATTGGACATTTCCCACAATCATTTCGGTATAATTAAAAAAATATTATTAAAATAATATTATTTTTTTTCATTACGTAGCAAAACGATCGGTCATTTCACGCAATTGGTACAAGATCAGGCGTATGCTGTTGGTTGTGCTTTGGTTCAATTTAAGAAAGACGCATACACAACGATCTATGCTTGCGATTATTCACTAGGAAATTTAAAAAACATCCCAGTATATGAAGCGTCCTCGAAAACCGCATCAAAATGCACAAAAGGAACAAATCCACAGTTGAAAGGACTTTGCAGCACCAGTGAAATCTATGACAACAAATTATTTTATAATTGAATAAAAATAACTTCTTTTCATGCAATT